GCCTCCAACCTACTAGCGATGGCCTCCAACCTAGAAGCGATGGCCTCCAACCTACTAGCAATGGCCTCCAACCTAGAAGCGATGGACTTCTAACATGACCACAGACCATCGCAACACCCCAAATGGAACTCCAAGAGTCTGCAGCTGGGCACGGTCTGCTCTTTCGATGCCGGGAACAACCAGTGGGTGGCGGATGAATTGACACCGGTGGAGGGTCGCCGGTTTCATGACTTGTTGCACCTATGAGGCTTCGCTCTCAACTGACCAGGAATTGTCCATGATGTTCCAGGTCATCATAATGCGTGAGTTGCTTGCTTCTGCAGCATCCCAAGGCTCTGGGCATTTCTATTTCTCGACACATATGACCCAAAGCCAACTGGCCAAGTGCAAACGAAACACCACTTCCTCAACTCCTCCCAATGATAAAAACACCAGGACTGTCGGCGAGAGGCATGAGGTGCAGATCTCGTAGCGCATCGTGCATGTGTTTGATCTCCCGCCGAGTCAACTTGTTCTCCTCGGTGGCTAGTTTGATGGTTGAGAAGGCAGAAATGTTGATCCAGCTTGGATGAAAAGGCTGAAATGTTGAGATGTTGATCCTGAAATGAATATCCAGAATTGCTTTTAGCTGGAAGATTCAGGTATATACGGTATATATAGGTATATGACCACATACCGTGGCCCAGTTGATATGTAAAAAATAATGGCTCCGGCTTTCCTTACATTCCCTGCAATTATCATGGAAGCGAAAATGGCCCCTCTTAGGTGGCCATTTTCCACTACAAACAGGTGGTATTCCACTTCCCTGTTAGTGACTCCGAGTGTAAACTGAGCGGCATAGCTCATCCTCGCCAGCTGTAAACTCTTGGCGGTGCCTCAGTGGAAGCACGTGGTGTTCATCAAAGCACAAACTACACTCCCTGAAATAATCATGGAAGTGAAAAACCATCTGGTTTTGTAGAAGAAAATGGTTTTCCTTTTGGGGCCATGCTATCCACTTCAGAGAGCTGGCCAGCTAGGCTTGGGAAGCAAGAGCCCAGGAGCTCGAGAACCGCCCATGTCTGCGATGACCTGTCAGGTTCTGTCCACAATAAAGTACCCATCCATTATGCAATTGCTGGCATGAAACCATGGCAGGCACCGGTTCTCCGCGAAACCTGAACCCAAAAGATTAGGTCCACAACTCATTTACTCACGAAAATGGGTGAACCCAACTCACTGAGTGAGATGAACCACCCAGTTTTCTGGAGTGAAAATTTATTTCCTTGCCATCTCCTGGCAGCATCCATGAAGGGTTTTGGCTGATCGTAACACAAACCCAAACGCTCCATGTATAGCATATTTATATATCTACATGTTGGTGGTTGAAAAGGTTGTCAATCTAGGATTTACAGGTACAGTATGACTTCCCTACATGCAAAGCCACACTTCTTGCAGCCAAGCCTGCCATGCAGATTCAAGCATCCGGTCACAAACTCATCGAGCTCCACCAAGCCGCTAGCGTCGGCATCTAACAGCCTTAAAACCAAGCAGCCGGCAGCTGCTGGAGTTGGCTCTGACAGATTTGCACGCAACAACTCATTCACTCGACGTTGAATGTCCGCGACGCGCAACTTCTACAAGCCTCATTCTACAACCCTGAACTTGTTCCTTTCTGGTCACAAGGCGTCTGGACGAAGAAGGTCTTATCATTGTGCACTTCACCACTCCACGAGCGAAAGACACCTCCCGGCTGCCAGGATCGGAAAGCAAATGCCAACAGCATGCACCTGCTGATTTCTATTAATTTTCCGGGCAAAAGACCCCAAACAGTGTGTGTGAGGTCTATAAGCAGAAAGTCTAGAGATCTAGACGCATTGAGGTCCAGAGAGTTGATGGTGGTGATGAAGGTGGGGATCGTGGTGACGGTGGTGGTGGTGGTGAGTGAGTGAGTGTGACTGTGAGTGTGAGTGTGAGTGAGAGTGACTGTGAGTGTGTGTGTGTGTCCACCCCTGGACCAAGGGTTTCTTCCAACCGATTCACCTGCCACTTGATCCCACCGACTCACAAGCAGGGGGTGCAAGCAGCCCATCCAGTCTTGCA